CATCCTGAACAACTGGCTGAAGACTCGCAGCTACATCGTTGGGTAAGTCATTGCCCCACTCTAATAATCTGCAATTCTCTTGTTTTCCAGCACAACCGTAATAATTGTTATGATGAAAACCTTTGGTCCGTGTTAATGAGGCGGCTTAAGACCCCGTCGACTGAATACAAACCCAAGCGCTTGTCGCACTTCTGATTTCCTCCACCGCCGCACTTTTCTGCTCATGTTGTTTGGGAAGGAAGCACTGACGAATTATTTACAGCTACTCCCCCTCGCAGGCCGACGTCAAAGTCTTCCAGCAGGTCAAGCAGATCCCCACACCCGAGAAGTACCCATACGCCTGGCGTTGGTACAATCACATCCTCACCTTCGAGTCCGAGTTCTCCTCCCTCCCCGGTGACCCAACTAAAGACCACACCGCCTACGGTCCTGATTCTGCTGAGCTCACCCTGAACCCCGCCAAGGCGCCAGCCGCAGAGGAGGAGGACGACGATGTCGATCTCTTCGGCAGTGACGACGAGGAGGAGGACGCAGAGGCTGCGAGGATAAGGGAGGAGCGTTTGGCTGAGTACAATAAGAAGAAGGCGGGCAAGGTCAAGCCGGCTGCCAAGTCCATCGTCACGTTGGATGTGAAGCCGTGGGGTGTGTATAAATCAAGATTTTTTGTTACTGGCAGATACTAATTGATTGTTTAGACGACGAGACAAACATGAAGGAGCTCGAGGACAATGTCCGTGGAATCTCAAAGGATGGTCTTGTCTGGGGAGCTTCCAAGTTGGTGGCTGTCGGCTTCGGTATTAAGAAGCTCCAGATCAACTTGGTCGTCGAGGACGAGAAGATCTCGCTCGATGAGTTGCAGCAGGAGATTGAGGAGTTTGAGGACTACGTCCAGTCTACTGACATCGTAAGAATATCGATCATCTCAATCGCTTTAGTAGTGACTAATTGTTGTTCTAGCAAGCTATGCAAAAGTTGTAGACGCCTGTCTACTCATTTCCCCTTCCACCTTCTATATCCACGACTGCAGGTTCGGCTTAGGCATGAGTGATGATAGGTTTGGGCATGGTTTATGGATGATGTGCAATGAGATTCTGCCAGTCAATAGATGACAATGAAAAGCTTGGTAATGTGCCAAAGTGCCCAATTCATCCTCTCTCATTCTGCTGTCTATACGTGAAAGTGGGCTAAACTCGTACATGTGTGTTTGTCCCGATACCGCCATTTGGCTAGGTTACGCATATATTAGAGTAGATGCTGTTGATGTGGTCAATTGACCGGATTACTCCCCTCGACGCCATGTTTCGTTCTCGTGCGAGACCAGACACATTTCTGGCCAGGGGACGCGTGAGTTGGCGGACATGATGGTCTCAGCGGCGAAGGAATGTTGTGGACTCAGGAACCCTTGCTTCCAACCTGAATCAAACGTCTTGCTAACCAGAGGGCTGTATGTGTTGGCCTCGACACTTTTTTTCTTTCGTGGGAGCGAGGCGCCGTGTGATGGTTCATTGAGGAGGAAGGATGATACCCTCATTATTCTCGGCTTTACACAATTCACCTATCCCCTCTATTCATGGTCATGGTAGACCCGCAAGGACACGGAGTTGGAGTAGGTACCTGAACTACGATCAGTTTTGGACTGAAAGTGCTATGCTTTTGACAATAGGGCGTGTTGGATTCAATTTCATGTATAACTTCGCAACAGAAGACACATGCATATGATGGTAATTGTTTCGCCCACCGGCATGTCTTGGACAATGAGTTGGGAAAGAGGAGATGCACTGCTAAACCAAAATATGATTCCCAAGTTGCGGCTTGTCAGCACGCAGAAGGATGACCAAGCATCAGCCAGGTTGACGCTGATAAGTGGTTGGGCGAGACAAGCATTTCAGGAACGGAAGGAATGTGCGCTAACCCTTCTTGAAGTAGTTCGATCAAAGCTTGGCCAGAGGTTGCAGAGAGGGATCCGCCATGAACTTATAAAGGCTGGTTGGAGCCGCGTATTTGGAGTGGTTTGACGTGCGAAGGACTCGCAAGTGTACCGTTGTCTGTTTATTTGGATCCAGGGGCCGTTGTCTTCCATGTTTCTCCTGAGATCGCTGTCAATTCCTCGCGTATCTCTGCAACGTTCCGACTGAAATCTTGGCCCTCGGCCGAAGTCCGCCAAAGACCACCGACGTCACGTCAGACAGTTCGCAAAATTTGGCGTCAAAAAGTTCTCGAGTCGCCGCATCTTATTAATGACGGCCCAATTGATATTTTTACGACCGGTATTACGGGATTCAGGCTTTCGCCACGCCATTACATTGCATTACTAGTATATTCGGACCTTCCCATCCAATCTCATTCGCTCACCAATCTTGCCGATTCAAAGCGCGTGCGGAGTTAGCAGGAAATTAAGGCGAACTCTAAAAATCTTATTCTTATAAAACTGCGGGTTGGCCTCAGGAAGCTCATTCATCCCGTCATCCCTCATCTCTCGTCGCATTGAGCGTTTTGAATTGCAACCATGGATCCCTCCGACGAGATGATTGAAAAAGCGGAACGCGACGCCTCCCCGGAACGCTTCCCAGACTCAAGAACAGGAACAGATCACGAGAAGACCGAACCCCACGAACCCATCGACAGAATCGTAACAGCGTCCACATCCTCAAGCTCATCCTCTTCCTCCGCCTCCTCTGTCGCAGAACGTGATGTCGGTATGTCGAGATTGCCCACCCAGCGCGATGAAGTAGTCGATCTAGAGCGACATCCAACAGCCCTAAGCCGCATACAAACGATAAGAAGTCAGCATAGCGCGACGGTGGGAGCGAGTCTAAAAAGCAGGCAGTCAAGAAAACCGCTCCCGGAATTTGGAGCAGGGAAACCGTATCCACCTCCATTGCCCGCGAGAGAGGAGTATGTTGTGGAGTTTGATGGTGTGGATGATCCGCTTCATGCGCAGAATTGGAGATTGAGGAAGAAGATTTATACGGCTGCTATGCTTGGGTTTACTACGTTGGTAAGTTAAAAAAAAAAAAAAAAAAAAAAAAAATCCTATATGATGATTTGGAGAATTGAGGACTCGGAGAGGCTAACGATTTTAGACATCTGCGTTTGGAAGTTCGATATTTAGTGCAGCAACGAGGGTGGTCGCGATGGAATACAACGTCTCAACCGAAGTCGGCGTCCTGGGAACTTCCTTCTACGTCCTCGGCTTCGCAACGGGTCCCATCTTATGGGCGCCTTTTTCGGAATTGAAGGGAAGAAGATTACCTCTCGTTATCGCATCTTTCGGTTTCGCGATATTCTCGGTTGCGGTGGCGGCGGGGAAGGATCTTCAGACGATATTGATATGTCGGTTTTTTAGTGGATTCTTCGGTGCTTGTCCTTTAACTGTAAGTTCTCCTCCCCACTAAAATAAAGACCAGAGTAAGTTGGCATGGAAGTTGACTTTTTTCAGTGCGTAGCAGCAGTCTTCTCGGACATGTTCAACAACCGCACCCGCGGCATGGCCATCACCATATTTTCCATGACCGTCTTTACAGGTCCCCTTCTGGCCCCATTCATCGGCGGCTTCATCACTATGTCGCATCTCGGATGGCGCTGGACTGAATGGCTAGTCGCAATAATGGCTTTCACGGCCGCGTTCCTCAACCTCTTTTTCCTGCAGGAATCATATCCACCCGTCATTCTCGTTTCAAAGGCCGAAGAGCTCCGCCGTCGAACTAAAAATTGGGGCATACATGCTAAGCAGGAAGAGATAGAGATTGATTTTAGAGAGTTGCTCGAGAAGAACTTTTCGAGGCCGATTCGCATGCTGATTTCTGAGCCGATTGTGCTGTTATTGAGTATTTATATGGCATTCATATACGGCTTGCTCTACCTCTTCCTGACAGCTTATCCACTGGTTTTCCAGGGAGTACATCATATGAATCTGGGCGTAGGTGGTCTCCCATTTTTTGGCATGATCACCGGCCAACTTCTTGCTGGATTGTTCATCTTTATCCGCCAACCTGGATATCAGAAAAAGCTGGCAGCGAATAATGACATGCCGGTTCCGGAGTGGAGGTTGCCGGAAGTCATTATTGGAGGTGTGTGTTTTGCGCTGGGGATCTTTTGGTTTGGATGGACGGGGTATAAGGAGAGTATTCATTGGATTGTGCCGACGTGTTCGGGGATCTTGATTGGGTTTGGGTTGTTGAGTATCTTTTTACAGGCGTTGAATTATTTGGTGGATGCCTATTTGATGGTATGTCCTTTCCCTTCCCTTTTCCTTTGCCTTACCTCATCTCTTCCTCCCACTCCAATCCAACTCTAGGAAATTGTAAACTGACTTGAATGATATAGTTCGCAGCTTCAGCTATAGCGGCAAACACCTTCCTACGTTCTATTTGCGGCTCGGTGTTCCCACTTTTCGCTCAGCAGATGTTTACAGGGATGGGGATCCAGTGGGCGGCGACGCTGCTGGGGGCTATTGCGGTTGTACTTGTGCCCGTACCGGTTTGGTTTTACCTCAAGGGTGCGAAGATTAGGGAGAAGAGTAAGTTTGCGCCGACTGCTAAGCCAATGGGTGTGCAGGAGTAATTGTGTGGGGATGGATTGGACGAAGGAAAGCGAGTGAAGTGATGGCAGTGTAGGGGGATGAAGTTCGTGGCGCTCCAAAAGCTCTGGTAAGCGCTTTATTGGATGCACTGGACTTCAGGCCTTATTTCAGCAAACTGAGGCTGTCTTGAATACTGGTGATGGGTGGGTGTATAAAAGTGTTGGAACGGGAAGCCTAGTTCTTTGCATCATGACGTTTGATACCACGCTAGCTTTGGATGCTTATCGGCAATGGTAATGTCTTATCTGTGTATGGTTTTCTTTTTTTTCTATGCCACTATCCGAGCATTTGGTGACCCAATATTCTCCTTATTTTTCGTCAGGTTTGAGCTAGTGATTCCTTTTATGTCTAGCCTCTCAGCTTTTACTAGTCTATTTGTATTAAATCATTTCCGAAGTATGATAATGAATGATGATCAAGGTATGTGTTGCAGTGGTAGCAAAGCTCATATTCATCCTGGCCCTTTCGAAATGAGTGACTTAGGTTCGATTCCTGACATACTCCCTCTTTGTCTATGTCTTTCCTTTTCTTTTTTAATTAGCACCTTAATATACCGGAAACTTGAAGAACAGTACGGCATTAGGCTTGAGGTAGGTGTAGGAATGGGGTTTGGAGAGTGTCGATGGAAGAGTTTGAAGAAGGGAGATGGAGAGAGACACAATAATCAGGGAGGACGTTAATTTAGCGTTCATTCTTCTTTGCGTTAGTATCGAATTTCGTTGAGCCCATAGGAGCGTTTTGTGAGGCCTTTTAGCTATTTTCATATTCATACTCCCTTTATCCTTCTCCATGCCTAACATTTCAACGCTTTCTCCCCTTACCCGTCCTCTCTTCCATCACGGCAAAATAGCAAATGCACTAATCCCGTTCCCCAACCCCGTCGTACACCCCGCGGAACTAAACCGCGTCTGGAAAATCAGCGTAGTCGAACATATCGGGGCCGTAAACAACTGCAGCAATCCTCCATCCGAGAAATATTGGTATGATTTCACATTGGCCGGTGGGTTTCCGGCGGAGGTGCAGCCTTGAGATCCGGTCCCGCCCCGGGCAAAGACTAGGTTTTGGCAGTTTTCATCCGAGAAGAGATTGACTTGCCAGGCGTTGGTTGTGGGGATGGAGAGCGCGAGGGTGAGGGCTGGGGCGAGGAGGGTGAACTTCATGGTTGGTGATTGAGTGGTCGATGGCGGTGCCTGTGTATTTGAATGGACGGATGAAGGGATCTGGGGAATGTGTTAGAGTGGTGCTTCGGCTTGTCTAGGTTTGTATAACTGGAATTCTTACCTTTTCTGAGAAGGTGGTCAGTGAAGATGAGCAAACTCTTGGTTCCTTTTCCGAGCGCGATGCGTACCTTTTATGTACTACCAGACTCTTGTAGTACACGCTCTCGGGCGCGATGTTGTGTCGTTTACTCTACTGTGGAACACGTCTATACCTTAGGCGGTATGAAATAGTTCATTTGGTGCAGTCGGATCCCCCGTGTGACCAACACCACGCCTTTCAATGCGCGCCATGAAAGAATCATGGGCAGAAGTACTTACACCAGCTATGCTCAATTTCGTAACCAATACTTGAAAACTCCCAATTCCTATGGGATCTTAGTGTCGATCATGGGAAGCTGACGACCTGAGAGACTTGGCTGCGCTGACATCGCCGTGACTAAGCCTAGCAATGCCCTTATAAGGTAGGTCACACCAAGAATAAACTCTCTTTTAGGTTTTGTGCACTAATACGATACTAAAATGTCATTTCCAGAATCGTACAGAAGCTGGGGGGAACTCGGAAGTCCGATGATCAGCAGCTGACCGGATCCACTACGTGGGAAACTTCAGAAACATTCCGTCCGTTTCCTTTCAGACTCGCAATTCACCCAAAAATAAAATATAGCTCTGGTTTCGCCCATAACGGCAACTTAGGTTCCGACATGTTCCCGTCCTGGTCACTGGGTTGGCTCTGGCTGGGATTTAGCTCTAAATGAGAAATGTGCGCTCTAGTTCGGGCATCATACATCTCACTAGCACTTCCCTACGTCAGCATCTCTCTCGTTCTCTCCTCGGATCAGCCAATTTGGACCGTTCTCATTCCAGTTCAACCTTACGGCGTAATTTCGTCTTTAAATTGTCTTCGGACTAGATGGGCAGACACTGGTTATTCTCATTCTTCTGGAGTCAGGGCGGGCGCTCGGAGAAGGTGTGATTCTGAATAAGGGTACAAAGTGCCTCTTTTACTCGGCGAGGTCGTCATCCAGATTGTAGCGCTCACGGTGCGACCACCGTCAGTCTGGACGGGCCTTCTTGCCTCGACACTTTCGGCACATCTCATTTATTATTATCGCAATATCATCGAATGTTCTGTCAATCTGTCTCTCACGGGTGCACAAGTAGACCCACAAACGAAGGTCCTGATCACTGTCCATCGACTTCAGCGCTTTATTAGCTTCATACTACTGATTATGGATTCAATGGGCGGGTGTTCGAATGTCTTGCGGCCTTTGGCGGTTTGGTAGTCAGCCTGGGAATTATCCAAAAAAAGGCTCCTTGGTCCCCATAATTTGACGCTTATGAACGTTTCCGGAGCATTCCAGTCCCACAAACAAGGGGTAAATTACAGAACACATCTGGTTCCGGCGGAATAGAGGGCCAACTTCAATTTGTACCCTACCCGTCATTTCCAGCCGATGCCGAAATCATTTGATCGAAACACCGAATCTAGCCTCAACAAGCTTATTGTAGTCAGAATTACGGTAGAACGAGAGAAAGGCGTTGGTGGTAACGTAGCTTGTAGTGTTTCGCCGAAGGGGAACAAAGTGGTACACTGGACTACAATTTTGCTGACTCTGAGAGCTGCGTTTAGTGGACGGCCCGCCACTCTGCTACCTGCAATGTCAAGTTTCTCGGGTTTCTGCAGGCGAACTGGATTACTCCGTGCCTAAATAATCAGGAATCTCTTCAATAAAAGACCAAAGAATATGAATGTAACCTTAAAATCTGGACCATTTAAAGCAGAAAACTCGAAGGCCAAGTATACCGGGGAGGAAATGAGCTTGAGGGAAAAGACCTGGCATGGTGCCCGGAAGAAATTCGAAGATAGAGTGGACAAATATAGTAAGGAGAGTACAAATATGAGCAAGCCAGCTGGGAAACCCTTCAAATGTTCCACCGGCAGACGGCAAAACCTGCTGAAGAGAAACTCGGCGAGATGACCATACAGCGCCGCGCTCGTTCGGGGCTCTTCACCCTGCGAACAGAAGACCGACTATGCAGTGCTTTCTGATTGTGTAACTTCTCAAAATGAGGCATGATTACGAAGCCTCTCGTAAAGAGATAGCATCCCCTGATCGTTTCGTCAGAGTCGCGACGCTAATTTTCTTGTGCATAATCATGCTAGGGAAGGTCTCTTGTGATCCTCTTCCAATGTCTTCATCTAAGGTCTGGAGTGTCTGGAGTGTCTGGATATGCGATATTGCGAGGACTTGATCAAGGGGCCATTGTACGATGGATAACATGAATATGATCCGGTGCAGGCATTCCTCTGCGGTGAATAATTGTGGTGATCGCCGAAAACTCAGTACCGCAATCACCCTGACGCTGAGTATGAACCATATTCCAAGCTAATCCTCTCTCTGGAGTGACTGAAATGACGAGGATATCGATCCCTCTTTCCCGCGTTATGTTTTCTCCGCCCTAGCACTTTAATTTAGCATTCAGGTTTGCTGAGGATCGTTTCGGTGATACTCGCAAACTTTAGCAACTTCCCTATCAACAAAAACCTCTCAAGGCTCGGTGGGTTTTGATTTCTCCCTGAATTTGGCGTCCGCTTTGATGGTGGCGGAGAAGTTGTTGCTGCCGCTGTCGATGCGTTTAAAGTGATGTAGAATAGAACGTAAATTGGGACTCTTACCTCGTGGCTAATCTAGAATTGTCTCTTGTTGGCGACGTTCCAGATTAGCGAATGTCTCTCGCAGCTCAGTAGATTTAACCCTGGTCATTCTTTTAGCTCTTTCGTTTCCAGCCTTCGCTTTCTCCACGAACTTAGCATGGTCCGCTTTGATGATGATGTTGGCGAAGTTGCTGCAGTTACTGTGGATGAGTTTGCATGCTCTCAAAAGAACCAAGTATTCTCATAGTGTATAAAAGAGTCAAACTTTCATTCCAGAGCTCCACATGATGTTTGCCTGACGTGTTGATGAAGACTCTTCCCAACTCCTTCACAGATTGTTTCGTCTCGTCGCTTGCCTGGCTCTCAAGCAGGCTTCTCCTCTCTGAAAAGCTCTACATAATTTTCCGTCTCGTCCACGGCCTGTTTCGTCTCGGCGCCTCTGGTTGTCGGGATGATCATGTTTTCGAGCCTGGGTCTGCCGCTAGTTGCCTGCTTGTGATTGGGGTTTCGTCTTCCGACATTGATCTTCAACGCAGTATTCGGCGAGTCGGGGTCTGAATCCAACGACATAGAATTCTTGCAGAAGCTCTTCCAAATACCGATGTTGGCCGCCCATTGCCTGGCGGGAACGCTCCTGATTTCTAGGTAGTATATTGTGACTGTTGAGGACCGATTCCGGTGGTGAACTCTCATCCATCCGTTGCTTCGCCTCTGTGTCGCTGGCCATCGTAACAATCGCTGCTTCGACCTTGAGAGTCTGCCCCTGGTTGCGGCGAAGTAACATCTATTCACTGTTCCCACAGCTCCTCACCTTAAACACACGATTTGTGCTATTTTTCTCGGATCGCTTATAAGTAATGTATTGCAGTGCTGCGCAATTCTCTATTGCGATTCGTCTCTGTGTAGAAGCAAGGTTCAGTTCTTGAAAGTGATCATCCAACTTAGTTTAACCAAACTAGTTAAAAGAACAACTTCAAGATCACTATCAGCATTCTTTCATATATTAGCCCTATATTTTGTTGGGTTGAATCAAGTGCATCGGTGCCTTCTGCAATTGGTCGCGCACTTGAAGTAAAACCTTCTCTTCTTTACCTCTTGTGTGCCATTACTTTTGGACCTATAGCAGTCTAGTGCCTTAATATCAGTCCTCTACTCTTTACACCTCCCTCCTTCTCCCTAGCTTCGCACTATAAGCTTGAGCAAGCTGTTATCTACCTTATCTGGACCGTCGAGCACGCCAAAAGTCTGAATTGGCCGGACAAAGCTGGCAGAAGGAAATGTCCACGGCGGTGGGTTCAGCCACTACCTCGCCGGCCGGAGCAACTTTTCGGTGCGCAGGATCGAATCGTCGGAGTGGGCGTGTGCGAAGAGCTCTGCGCTGGACTGATTGCCGCTGCGGGCACATATCGAACGCGACTTCGAGATGAAGATGCGGCCTGTCAATGAAAAGTGGTACAAGCTAAGGAGGTACAGAGGAGATGGAAAAAAACCGCGAGGGAGAGATGGCAGGCTATCAGGTAGATGACTGACTCGCTGTAATACCGGAGCCCAGACATGCAGGGCTGTACGACGTGTCTGTCAATGTCGGAACAAGTCCCCCGCCCCCGGGGTTGGTGAATGGGGAGGAG